TCATTAGACAAATATATGTCTATTGATAGTTTTTTATATGTCTAATGGTGTCTAATGGCTGTCTATTCACAACCCTGCTTTAGGTCCTTAAAAGTCCTAATATTTTATTTATAATAATCTAAAAATAAATTTATAATTTTATTAAAAATAACAAAATTCATTTGAAAAATTGATTATTAATAACAATTTGCTAGCAAATTTCTTGTAAAACAATGTAAGAAATATTTAATTAGAAAATAGCAAAAGTAATAATGTAACAATGTATTTATCATTTTTAGTTATACGGTTTCCTAATTGTGTGTTTTATTCATCAAAGTATGCATTACATTTCAAATAATGATTAAATTACATTATTTAACTATGGATTTTGCAAATTCCAACTGCAAATTTCTGCAATTGCAGAATTCTGAACAGCCTAATCAATATATATATATATATAATTTAATAAAGCTTTAGATGCATAGTTATTTATTTAATGTATATAGTTCATAAACTGTTTCATTACATACTTAATAAGTCAATGTCAATATGTACATATAGCGGACCTAGGTTTTAGGACTAAGTCTTGGACTGGACCTAAGTTAACTCAAGTCCTAAGACTGGTTTTATTAAACTTAGTTCATAAGTCCATGCAGTAAAACCCACAGGTTATGGGACCAAAGCTACATTAGGATGCACGTTAATTCGGGACGTCCATGAGCGCTAATTCGAGAGCATATAAGTTATTTTTGAAGGATCCGATTTTTTCAAAATAACGCCCACGAGCGTTGTTTCGCGCTTATACGGCATTTGCTTTAGTAAACTGCTAAAAATGTTTTTTTTTTTTTTTTTTGCAATATAAAATTGTTTAATCGTAATGTTAAGCATTTGTGAATCTTTTTGATGGAGAACCACGAGAATATTTAAGGTTTCTATGACATAAAATGTTGTACGAAACCATAAACGCCCATCTGGTTTTATTGTAAAGAGGGAATTTTTTTCGAGTCAGTTATCGATACCCGAGTGACCCGAAATAACTTTTTGTTTTACAAACATTAAAACATATTAAATTGAATCAATCAGCAAAATCGAGACATACATATACATGGGTGAATGATTTACGATAGACGGTGTGGCGAAATGTTTTTAATATTTTTGCCATAGTGCTTCAAAATGCCAAGTGGTGAAACTATTTTTTCGTCTGGCGAAATTGATTTCATCTGAAAAGAATTCTGAATTACTAGGAGCTGGAAACCAGTAAAAGTCCGGAGTATAAAGTACTGTACTTAGTATTGGTTAATTCAGAGTCCAAATTAGTCTGCGTTCCCGTGAATATTTAACTTTAATAAAAGGAAGCACAAATCGATCAGGATATAAAAGGGTTGTACAACGGTAAAATATCACGCTTATGTAATAGAAAATATTCGACCAATCAGCATGCATAAAAGCGGACGGAAGGACAACTCCACGTGATCTCGATGATCACAGTCTATCGTAAAAACAGTGTCCTCCGGACAACAACAATTATTTTTTTTGGCCGACTCCTCTGCAATTTACTTATTTGCGCCGGTAATACAAACCAAAAAAGGAAATCGCATTTGTAAATAAACTAAGGAAGTTTAGGATTAGGACGTTAGTGATAATTTGAGTTTTTTATATGTAAAATTTTCATTCCCGTTATTTTTTATTAGTCCAAAAAGGTCGATTTAAACACTAGTTTTTGAGTATTTTCTCTTTTTCGGTGTTTTTCTTCGCTTTGCTCACGTGTCGGGCTGATCCGGGATCATCACATTTTACGTTCTCCGATTGGCCATTTCCTTTTTAGAGGTTTGTATTACCGGCACAAATAAGTGGATGCGACTCCTCTGCCTCTGCCGAAAAATGTCTACTAATCCAGTGAATACGAAAATAAGATGGCACTTTAATCATCTGCCTCTGCCCCTGCTTCAGCTCATGCCGAATTGATGGCAACAATATATCAAATCATCAAAAAGGGTCAGTTCTAAATCTTCTCAACAACTTCAATATTTTAATTGTGGTATAAAAAATACACCTTCATCACACGAAAACTATGTATTCACAAATTAAAATAAACGCAAATAAGCAAAAAATAAATGAGAACTGAATAACAAATGAGTAATATGATTATATATATACTATGCTCAACTAAATCAAAAAGCAAGAATCAAATATGGGATGATAGTTCCATTTATAAAAATTACTTGGATTATAAAATTTTAATCTTAGCAAAAATTTTGATGCATAATGTAAGGACCTATAAATCACACATTTAAAGGAGAGTAGTATATTATTCCGAAAATACCCGCATTTATTTGGGTAATGCCGAGCAAATTGGATTTTTTTTTATATTGGTGTACTAATAAAAAATGTCATGTAGGTGATTTTACCTATAAGACATGTCCTACCCCTACCCCTACCCCTAACCCTAAACTAACTTTAATTAAATAGTCAAAACCATGCGATGCACAACCATTTAAACGTTCCCAAAAGTAGAAAGTATATATTTTTCAAATAACATTTAGACAATGTATAGAATTATGTAATTCAGAAAACTGAATACATTAAAGTTTATTAATTTTTTAGTTAAAAAATCGAATTTGTAATCATAACCTAATTAATTATATACTGTATGTATCAGATGTAGTCTAAATCATAATTAAATAAGTGTATATAAAATTATATGTAAATATATAGTTGCTTTTATTTCACTAGTGAATTTTTTTCAACTTTAGATTCCCACCACTTCGATTGATAGCCACCTAATATTAAAATATTAAGATTTAATTATAAAATAAACTTCAAATGCTAAAATTTTCATGCAGACATTTTTTTAAAAAATCTAACCAGCAATTTTGTAAAGCTTATCATGAAGAACAAAATTAGTGAACAGATTTTGAAAATAGTGTCTGTGTAAAAAGTTTTAGCGTTTTGATGTTATTATTTAATGTAAATATTCTGCACCATAAACAGGTCGAATTTAAAATTTCTACATATAACATTTCTGGGAGATCAGCAGAATATCGAACGTCATATGTCTGATAGCTAACCGATTTTTGGTGCGATAGACATAACAGATGTCTAATACTTTTTGATAGAAGTATCGGCTATCTGATAAGCCTACCTGGACCGATATCATTCCGATCGTGAAAATACGTGCCAAAAATCAGCTAGTTATCACGTTCGATATTCTGCAAATTCGACCTAAGATATAAATATACCGTAAATGGCCATATACAAGACCCGGATCTGTTCATTTCACCATTCTAAAGAACAAAGTTAGAAATGCAATCTAGATACTTATATTTCGATCAAGAAAATCCCGATTTGTACCTGGATCTAGTACCTGATAGGTCTATTATTAGGAGGACCATTTACAGTTAGTATTTTAAATTCGATTTTGCATGACTTCTCGATCGACTGTTAATGAAGATTAAATACGAAAAAGGATTACAATCAGTGCTCTAAAGGTAAATAACATCTAAAAAAAGTTTTGATAATATTATACAAGGCTGTTATTTATACTCTTTTTTAGATCCCTATTCTGTTTATTCGGGGGTACATTTTTTATTTATAAACTATATTGAATTGAAATATATAAAATGTTGTCAGAAATTTATTTTTTTAGATATATTAAATAATAAAAAGCTAATTAACAATGAGCCTAGCCGAGGGTTCAGAAGAACTTGAAACTGTTAGCTTTTATATACACCAAGCTCTTGAACTTGCGTTCAATGGCAATATAGGTGCTCCAATTCATGAAAAGTTGCAAACTGGTGCTAAAGTATTGGAATTTGGGTAAAAAATAAATAAATAAATAAATTCTTGTTTATTGATATGATTATTATTATTTCTGTAAAGTTTAATAAATTATCATTTTTGTAACAATTCTTAAAAAAAGTTGTGGGACTGGCATTTGGACTGCTGAAGTATTTAACTTTATTTGCCATTTTATGAACTTGGTAACTTTGGATATCGATTAGTTACTAACTTTAGATTAAATTATTAGGTTGCTGCTGAATACCCAGATTCGAAGTTCTATGCAGTTGATCTTACCACCCGAAATTCTATTGACCATAATATTACATTTATTAGTTGTGATATCCATCATAAATTACCATTTCCTGATAATGAATTTGATTATGTTTTTTCCAGAAATAAAACAGAATTCTTTTCAAAAAATACTTTTCAGGGATTTCTATTTGAAATCTTTAGAGTATTAAAGCCAGAAGGTTGGTTAGAGGTAAGAAGAGGGTTTGTTTTTGGTCTTGTTTTTAACTTCGCGATTTAACGTTAACAGATCTGAAAATTATTAGATTGTACATTCACTTTATGCCGATGATGATTATGGTGGGGCATTCTCTAAAGGGGCGAGTAAATGTATATATATTTATTAATTGTAAAATTATATTTAGAAAGATCCTTCTCAATTAATTCATAATCCTTTAGATATTTCGTTTAACAGGGAACGTGGAATTGATTTTGATCTCATAACACACTTAGAAGATTACCTTAAAATGACTGGAAAAACTGAATTTTTATCATCTCAAATAGCGAAAATTCCGCTTGGAGGTGCTGGATTTGGAGAGTTTACTTCCGAAATAGTTTTAAACTACGTAAAAAATATGCGAAATGCAGGATCTCCATTCGAAGGATATGAACAGCCATTAGAAGATCTTGAAAGTGAAATGAAAGAAAAACGTGGTGAAATATATTCTAAACAAAAAAGAGTATTTGCAAGAAAGAAAAATATGGACACTCTTAAAGATGCTTAAAATACACATACATGTTTCATAAATAATAAGCACTGCTTTACTAGCTTTCTGATACAAAGTATTGTGTTTCTTTATGGTAGAAAATTTTATAGCACATATTTGTTTTTATTTTTATTTTTTGATTAAACTAAATTATCATTACCGTTATTTATTTACCTATATATTTATTTATTCACACTGATATACTTTTTTAATTTCTTTTTTCTTTTTTGTTGGATGATTGATGTTTTACTAGTACTTAGAATATACCAAATTCGATTATTAACACAAGAGATCATTAAACCGGCGATGGGTTCGGACGTTGTCATCGTCATCAATATTAAGGACGTTGATATCCCGACAATGTCCTATGTCCCACGTCCGTGAAAGTGCCCAATATAACACTGTTCGGACATTGACCCACAACTTTTTGTCTATGTCATACTATAGCTTTTTCATTGTAATTACTGAATTTCAGCTTTATGCCATTATTGTTATAGCATATTCTGTAATTAATCGAAAATTTTGCAAATCAAAAAATGATATGCCGCGGAGTGGAGGACTTTACTGTCCAGACCTGTTACTAGGGATGGTAAAAAAACATTTTTCACCGTTTTAAAACATGTGGTGATTATGATCCGAATGCATTCAATATAGGCTCCGCATATCAAAATCATAAACATCGCATGTTTTTAAACCGGTGAAAAATGTTTTTTTACCATCCCTACCTGTTACGGTCCCCTCTGTATTAACGTTTGGATTTAAATGAAATTTTTACTATCCCTTACAGTACCCTGTAATATGCTCCCGAAAGTACATCAAAACATAATGCAATAAAGATAATGAAATATAGTAATAAAATATATATGGGCTAGGTGCTGGAAAAAGGAACGAAAATGACAATTTTTTCAAACTAAATTTTTTTACATAATTAATTTAGAATAAGATTAGAATCTTTTTCACTTAAGACACAAAAGTAGTTGTGTTAATAAAATTTTGCAGTATAGCTCTTTAAAGTTTGTATTTTCTTATAATCTATTATAAGATTTATAACACAAAAATTGATTTTCTGAAGATCTTTTGCTTTGTCGATTTCGTTCCTTTTTCCAGCACCTAGCCCATATATAGCTTAAAGACCTATGTTCTTTTCAAAGAGTAGACCGAGCTAATAGCGATATCAATAATGATGATAACATATTTACAGTATGATAACATCAATAATGACATGACAAAAAAATATACCGTAGGTTTAGATATAAGTTTTAAAAAATGGCTAAATAGGTAATACTAATAAATATTTATGATTTAACTCCAATATTGTACTTCTAATATATATGTAATAAAACATATACAACTCACTTTCGTTATAGTGAAGCCATTAAGCTAAAAAAAATTTCACCTGCCAAATCAAATTAAGATTAGGGTTCTGCAACCCGGCCCAAAAAAAAATCTTGGCGCATGGGCATAGGCACAGATATTAAAATTTTGGTACGTACAGGCATAGGCACAGGCACAAAAATTTGGCATGGGCACAGGCACGGGCACAAAATTTAACATACGGATATAGGTACATGGGTATAGGCAAACGAAGATATCACTGTAACCACCTAGTAGAATTTGGCGAGAAATTTTTATTTGGTTCTACGAATTTGTAGAATTAGAATAAAAAAAATTTCATCGAATTATACTAGGTGGTTGCCGAGATATTTCATTTAAAATTTTCAACGCAGTTTTAATTTACTTGGATGTTTAAAACTTTGAACGAAGATATCTCTGCAACCACCTAGTAGAATTTAGTGAAAAATTTCTTTATTCTGATTATACGAATTCGTAGAATTAAAATAAAAAATTTTTCATCAAATTCTACCCAGTGGCAAAGATATCTTCGTTCGAATTTAAAAAATAGATTCGAATATCATTTTTTTCTGGCCAATCACCGCTTTTCGATTTTGGCCAATCATCGCGGATGTCACGTGATTCTACTCCGCTTTAAATTAATTGATTTTTATATTAACGATAAATTCAATCCATCCACTGTTTGTAATGTTCCAAATACAAAGATACGAAATTGAACAAGAGCCGTCTCAGGATGTCTCGATCGTGAGCACTGAGAGATTATCAAAAATCAACGAACGTGTTCAACTTAAAAGAAAACGACCCTTAAAAAATAATCAAGCGCAGCAAGCTGATGAATACCAAGAAAGCAGTTCGATAAAAAAGGAAATAAATGGAAAAAATGATTCTTTTCATGATGTTGTTTCCACAGAAAAAATATCGAAAAATACACATGATGATTTACCTTTGCAACAACAGAAAGAAACAGTAAAAAAACTTCCCACATTACAAGCGTTTCCAACGTTCAATAGGCCAAAGCAAACACCACAAGAAATTGCTGCCGTTAAATTGTTGGGTATACCCGACTGGTTAGCTAATCCAACAATTGTTGATTCAAATTCAACAAAAGCAATTGATCATCTATCCATTGGCTTATCAGAAAGATTGATCAAGCGTTGTAAAGCACTTGGAATTCAAGAGTGTTTTGCAGGTTCTCTAATTTATTGACATTTGCAATCGAAGGGATGACTATTATTATTTATCAGTTCATTCGATTGATATTTTCCTTACGTATATGTAGTACAAACGGCAGTTATTCCACTGCTAATACACTCACGAAATCTATCAGACACTCATAAATCACCCGGTGATATTTGCGTATCTGCACCGACGGGAAGTGGCAAAACTCTCGCATATGTGCTACCAATAATTGATGTTTGTATCATGTAAACATCCGTCTTCTTTTTTGAAACAAGCGTTTTTGCATTGGTTAATGAAATTATTGCGTCATTATTTATAGATACTCTCAAAACGCATTGTAACTCGTTTGAGAGTTCTCGTTATTCTTCCTACGAGAGATTTAGTAATTCAAGTTAAAGAGACGTTCGATGCTTTTTGTAAAGGCACGAATTTGAAGGTTAGAATACTATTCATAGATCCCTTTATTACAATTAGATTGACTTCCTTAATAATTGCGGAATGAAAGGTTGGAATGGTTACAGGTCAGCAATCTTTCATTCACGAACAAGAACAAATAGTTGGAGATTTACAAGGCCAGTAAGTAAAATGTTGGCATTTCTTATATAGCGGTTACTAGACGATTAGTCATGCACTCATATACTGACAGTTTCATAGGTGGTAAAAGTAAAGTAGACATACTAATTGCCACACCTGGTCGGTTGATCGAGCATCTTTCGACGACTCCAAATTTTACTCTGCAACATTTACGATTTTTGGTTCGTTTATTTAGGCGATACTGTATTTTTTGATATTATAATTTTTTTTTTTATTTATATCTACTTTATTATTAAATAAGATTATAGATGAAGCTGATCGCTTGCTTAACCAAAGTTATCAAGATTGGTTGTCGCACATACTTAAGTCCACACGGTTACAGCAAGCTGCTGTAAATGCAAATAGGCAAAAATCGGTGGAAATTAAATTTGATTCCTTTGGGTAAATAATTTATATTTATTTAGTTGATTTGTTACTAATGACAATTCATATGGACTTATTTGTTGATATTTACAAGTGTGCCCATAAATGATACTATTTCTGCTGTAATGATGGAATCGTTCTTGCACATTCAAAAAGTTGACATTTCAGAACCTAAAACATCAGCGGTAAAATTTAACATCTTATTATATGATGTTTATTCTTTAAATTTCAATCATATTTACGACAAATTATAAAAGATTCAAAAGCTTTTATTTTCGGCAACTCTCACGCGGAATCCAGCAAAAATTGCAAGCCTGCATTTAGTGAATCCACAATACATTTCTATTCAATCGATGAACAAAAACGAGGGCGAATTTAAATATGTTCTGCCCAGCAGTTTAAACGTAAAAT